TACATATATACATATATACACACAATTTATTTAAGGTGTGTGTGTATATGTATGTATATATATATATATATATATAATTTATTCAAGGTATATGTGTATGTGTGTATATAACGGCTGCTGGCAGCTAAAGGTTTGAGTTTAAAATCCTCTGTTGTAATCAGATTTAATCTGAGCGATTGTTCATTGTTCTCAGCTTTGGGATCTGGAGGTTTCCTGGCTTTGAGCCAGATCAGGGCCCAAACAACAAGCGAGGCGGGTGTGTGTGTGTGTGTGTGTGTGCGTGCGTGCGTGCGTGCGTGTGTGTGCGCGTGTGCGGTGTCTGTTCCTGATATGGAAATGGCATTAATTACAGACAACAGATGGGACCTTCAGCCTTTGCTCAGATTAAATATTAAATACCTACAACTCTCACTGATCGAGCTTCAGCGTCTTCATCCCGGAGTTGTTTCCTCCTCTTCCTGTAGCACCAAATCTAAAGTCTGATACATAATCTCAATCCAGCCATCATCCCCAGATGTCCATCTAACTGGTCAGAAGACGAGGTTTTACTTCCTGTCAGCTCGCCGGCGTCGGTTCTGATGATTAACTGGTCTTTTGTTTTTGTTTTCCAGCGCCGGGCCCAAAGGGGACAACATCTATGAGTGGAGGTCGACCATCCTGGGCCCGCCAGGCTCCGTGTACGAGGGGGGGGTCTTCTTCCTGGACATCGCCTTCACGCCCGACTACCCGTTCAAACCGCCCAAGGTCAGCAGCTTCATCAGACGGGTTCAGAACCTTCAGTGTTTGGGTCGAGCCTGCAGGACGTTCAGTTTGGGTCTTATTTAATTAAATGAAGGTCAAAAGGGAGGCGGCACGGTGGCTCAGTTGGTAGAGCTGCTGCCTCTCAGTGAGAAGATCGCTGGTTCAAATCCCAGCCCGGGGCCTTTCTGTGTGGAGTTTGCATGTTCTCTCCGTGCTGCGTGGGAAACTCCAGTTTCCTCACACAGATTGGTAACTCTAAATTGTCCCTGGGTGAGAGAGAGAATGGTTGTTTGTCCCCAGGTGTCCCTGTGATGGACTGGAGACCTGTCCAGGTGTCCCCCTGCCTCTCACAGTGACTGCTGGACATGGGCACCAGTGACACGAAAAGGACGAAGCGGGTAAAGATGGTCGGTCTAAAGGTCGACATGAAAAGCTTCTCCTGATGGACACGAGGTCGTCTGTGACTCAGTTGTGTAAAATTTAAATATTTGATGAACAACAACCTGTTGTTTGACGGCTTGAGTGATCTTCACTGACAGAGTGATCAATATGATGCAAATAACTAAATATACAAAGTGTTTAACTGGAGTGTAGTTGTAGATTTTAGATCAAATATAATGTTTAATTGTGATTTAAGGGTCTAATATAAACCGTGTGAACACATTTGCAGAGTGACTTCTTCACTTGTTGGTTAAAACAAACTGAACGAAGCTAAAACTAGCCAAAAGGTGGCTAAAGCTAAAATACATCAAAACTTTGGCTAAAAGCTACAATTAGCAGAACTTGTGCTAAATGTAGCTAAACCTTAGCTAACAAACAAAATGAACAAATAACTGGAATGAATGCACAACAACCTTAGCTAAAAGATAAATGAGCAGAAATTTAGCTAAGGATTAAGTATTAGCCAAACCTTAGCTTAAAGCTAAAATTAGCATCGATAATGACCTAAAAGTAAACGCAGCAGACAATAGCTGAAAGCTAACAGGAGCATAAGAAGACAGAAGTGAGTGAAGTTTAGAGATTAAAGTTTCTGAAGGAACTGAAGAGACCTCCATGTTTTCTATAAGAGGTTTTTTGTAAATAAAGTTAAATAATTTAAAGTTACTAAATTGTGACATAAAATCACGTTGTGCTGCTGATCAGTTTAAACATTTAGATTAGTGACTAAAAATATTTAACTTTGAAGAGCTTGGATGGAAACTGTATTTTGGTCGTTGTCCGGTTTGAAAATCATCGACTGTATTTGAAAAAGGTTAAATATTAAAAAGTCAACATTAAGTTAAATCATAAAGGAGGAAGTTTTGTAAAAAACTAAAAATGCTGCTCTGGAGTGTCACAATTCAAACAAAGCTGCTTTTCTAACCTTTAAATGTCTCTTAGTCTAAATACTTCCCATGATTATTCTCAAACTAACAGGAAGTGTTAATTAGTTCATCTGGAGTCGTTAAGTCATCGACCCGATGGCGCAGCGCTTCGACCAGCGAGCCGCTTTAATCCAAACCCAATTCTTGATGACGAGTTTAGTGAAATCTCTAAAGTCGAGCGGGTTTTCTTCGTGTTTTTGAGGTGAATCTGGAACAGAATGTGTTTGAACATGAACTAAAGGATCTACAGGAGGAACGAAGAATTTAATTCTGAGGTTGTAGGAATAAATTAATCTGATTAGATAATTTGACCTGGTGGGGCGGTACCATGCTCATGAAGGGGGTTCACCCAGGGTGAGGCTCAGCCGTCGTACTGACCCCTGTGGGAATCAACAATTCATAATTTCATGTTGGGGCTGCTGTTTTAATGATTTACATTATTAGTGTTTATCTTAGGTCCTTAAATATTGCTTCACTTTATATTTTAGCTGTTTCTGGGTGTAACTGGGACCTTGGGTGCACAGTCTTGTTCCACCTCATGTACCACATGTGACGCGAATGATCATAAAGACACTTGAACTTGAGAAAACGTCCCTCGCATGAAACACAACGTCGACGTTTCCCATTTTAAACGAACCGATTTCTATAAGATGAACGTTTTAATTTTTATAAAAATGGTTCTTCGTTGGTGGAAAATTCTAATTATTTTTAAATTTTTGGAGAGTTTTTGCCGTCTAACGTTAATAAGCAGGTTCAGATTAATTTTAGTTTCCTGAATGTGGCGACAAAATGATCCGAACGTTTTCACTCGGCAGGAAAGTTCTTGACAGAAAGAGACGAACATGAGACAGAACTGAAGCTGTTTTGTCTTAAAAAAAAAAAAAAGTTGTATCCATCCATCCATCCATCCATCCTCCTCTTGTTCTGGACTCAGGTCTCGGGGCAGCATTTATTTATTTGTTTTTGTTTGTTTCTTTGTTTGACAGACGACTCAAACAAATCCTGCAGCTCCGGCCCAGATTTCTGAGGCCGGGGGGGGGGGGGCTCGAGTGTTTCCGCTCTGTCGCCCGGTCCAACACACTCTGATCTGCAGCCAGAACCGCACACAGCAGAAATACACCTTAGCTGCTAAGACCGGACCCGCTGCTCGACCCGGTTTTAATCGCAGGACAAATCTGCCAGGTGGATTTGTTTCTGTTTCTGAACCGGAGCCAGCAGAGGAGCTCTGTAGATCCGGAGGGGGAGGGAGCTGCGGTTATTTATAACACTGGTGTTTGGGGGGGGGGGGGGGGGTCGAGGCTCGTTAGAGGTTTCCTGTGGAGGATCTGTGGGTCAGGAGGTCCAGATGTGTGCAATTACAGCTGCAGACAGAACAGAGGTGTCGGGATCGAGCACACAAAGAGACCAGTCGCTGGAGGTTCTGAACCGGTCCGGGTGTCGGAGAGGAGTTCTTGAGGCTGTGGCTGGAAGGAGGATGTTACAGGAGAACAGAACCAGTTGACACTTTGGTTCTGGAGTCCAGTTTGTCCTGAGACGACAGAGCGGTTATTGTTCAGGGCTGTGATTTTACAGCGTGCTGCCCCCTGGTGGTCAGCTGCTGCATCAGGCCTCTGGTTAAACATCTGTTTTAAAAATCCTTCAAAAAGGAGTTTTCTGCACGTGCAGCAGTGACAGGCGGGCCCTGGTGGAGCTCTCAGCCCGACCCGACACAGCGGTACTGATGCTGATGCATGAGAGTTGATGTGAAAAAGGAGAAAACCCACAGAACCTGGGCTGTTGGCTCCGTCTCTGCTTCCTGTTGGATCCTTTAAGAATCGGTTTATAAAACAAATTATTCCTGAAAATCCCTGAAGCTCAGTGCTGTTTTATATTTTATGAGTATTTTCATCAGCAGCCTGTAAATTTATTACAACGTAGACAAATGTTGTATCCTCCTGAAACAAGCTGGAGCAGTTTAAAGATGAATAATTGCATTAAAACCAGTTTATTTGTCCTCGTTTTATTTTTCTTGTTCCGAATCCTTTAGCTCGGGGGGTTTCTCAGGTAAACCAACACGGTGTTTGTTTTGGTCCTCAGGTGACGTTCCGTACGAGGATCTATCACTGCAACATCAACAGTCAGGGCGTGATCTGTCTGGACATCCTGAAGGACAACTGGAGCCCGGCCCTCACCATCTCCAAGGTGCTGCTGTCCATCTGCTCCCTGCTCACAGACTGCAACCCAGGTAGGACCGCACGCCTCGCACCCGTCTAATCCCATTTATTACGAGACGTCGTTTTTTAAAAACCTGAACCACAGCTGCAGCGCACGGCTTCTGTTGGACGTGTTCAGGCAGGGAGAACTGGAATCCAGTGAACCTCCTGGGTGGAGTGTTCTTCCAGAAAGGGCTTCTGCTGGATTTGAATCCTGATGGAGTCGAGTCGCTGCGTCGTTTCGTTCCAGCGGTGATTTATTTCTCCTCCAGCGAGGGAGGATGTGTTTCTCTTCAGAAGGAATCTTAATGTTCTGCTGCCGTATCCAGAAGGAACTGAAAACACTTGAAACACGTTGTGACTGCTTCAGCCGGACCTCCCCTGAATGTAATCTGACCCGTATTGATTCAAAATGACCTCAGAGTCGTGTTCGGTTCTGATCCAAAGCTAACGAGCCTCTCAGTCACGTTGAAAGACGCATCAGAGACGGGACCTGCCTCGCCGACGCCGGCGTCCATCATGTTCCTGCGGAGTGGAGTCCGTCGGAGCGATTCTCTGGGTGTGTTCAGGTTTCTTTGAAACGTGCTGGGAGCGTTTCATCTGAAGACGAATCGTTACACAACAAGGCGCCTGCAGAGATTAAAGCCGCGTTCAGCCAAGGAATAAATTATAAAAGCCCCGGATAGATGGACCCGATCAGAACATCTTCTGTTTAAGGCTCTTTTTATTCAGTGGCTCCTTCAAACGATCCGCCTTCGTGCCGTCTCTGGGCGTTCATACATCTCCAGAGCCGGCCACGTCTCTTTAAATAAAGCGAGCATCGAGGAACCCAAAGAGGCGCGGAGCAGAACTCATCCGGGCTGACGTGGATAATAACGCATTAAATGTGTGACCACGTCTCTCAAAACGTGATGGATTAAAGTTCCTGTGTGTCGTCGTCGATCTTCCCTCGGTAATAAATCCATTTATTTTCCAATCCCTGGATGAGTGGGTGCTCAGACCCGATGTCGTCACGTTATTGAGCCTCAAGACCAGCTTCCAGTTTCCTGTGGACCGTTTCGCCTCTGTTGCTACCTCGCTTCGCGGCACAAAGGAGCTCCAGGGGTGGGCTGGCTTCGACTCAGCGCCTTGATCCTTTCAGAAATCACACAGAAGGTGTTGAAGTCCGGCTCGAGGGGCCGTTAGTCACATTCTTCTTTTCTGCAACTTTCTGTAAACTGTTGCCGTCTTATTGAAACGTCTGGCAACGTTGGTCAAAATGTAAAAAATAAAGCACTGAAACACTTTGGCCCTCCATGTTCAGTTCTTCTGCCTCTTTAAAGTCCACTACTTGAGTTTGGCTCTACCCTGAAAACTTCAATCTGAACACAAATTAAACGTAAACTCCAGCGTATGTTGGAATGTACGAGATTAAATTAGAGCTCTAACTACTAGTGAGCAACTTTGTCTCATTCCAGAGCGTACACCTTCAGCTAACGTGCTAACTTCAGGAACAAGCCCAGATTAACACGACCTGATTAATCCTTCGGGGTGTTGTTTCTTGTTGGTTTTAGACTCGTCTCCATCACTCTGGATGTTTTTAAAACTGATTTCTTCTGCGTCTGCAGCCGCCTTCACTCAACGTGCTGAGCTTCTGAGAGACACGACGATGTTCGAGCGCCTTCTCGTGTCACTGTGTGCCCCGAACAACACTTTTTACATTTCTCTGCATTTGTTTGGCCTCATCGCGGATCTTGTTTCCAGTGACTGATTTGTTGCTGAACTCAACTTTGATGTTTTGCTGAAAACGTCACCTGGCAGAGAAATGGAAACCGACGAAGACAAAGTTGCTCGGTTGAAGAACATTCTTTTAGATGTCGTAGACGCAGATTTCAGCTCACATTTAAAAACATCTCAGTCAAGTTTTGACTCGTGGTTGGCACACGCACTCTGCCATGTTTGTCCTGAGGGCGGACCCAAGGCTCGTTGCTCTTTCAGCTGATAACTCAGGTTTGTTCACGAGTCTTCGTTCAACATCAACGTCTGAACCAGCTGCAAATCTTAAAGTAGGATCTCGCCCAGCTGCGACTGTCGGCAGCTAATTGGCAAACGGCGTTCATGAAGAAGTCTCCAGATAGTCTCAAAACGTTTGCAGGCGTCCTCAACGTCCTCGCACGACTTGCAGCCGTCTCAAACCCGTCAGTTGTTTTAAATCTGTCTCAGTTCATTTGCATAAGTTCTTCGACCCGTCTCAATAGCGCTAACCCTTTTGTTGTCACCTGAGTGGGAACTGTTCTGACAGAAAGCCTCTGACATTACAGCCCTCCATGCCCAGGCTCAAAAACCTCTTCAGTGATTAATAATAATCATTTTAAACTGCCTGTCTTCATTTCTAAAGTGAACTCCTGTAGATTAGATCATGGAAATGGAGCTAGCTGCTGAGGTGGGTACAGTAAGGGTTGAGACGGGCAGTTTTACCAGCTGATTACACAAAAACAGTCTGACTTTCAACCATGAGCTCCTCGATACGCGCCCACACGGCTCGCTGGTCGGTTGGTGAAAAACAGATTTCAGTGAAACTACAACAGAGAATGTGTCGTTTCTCTCACGGTTTGAGTCTCCACCGGTGAGATACGACCTTAAGCAGCTCCCTCAAAGACTGCTTACGAACCACAAAACGGTTAAATCGGGACAGTTTCTTTATTTCATCTTTCATCCAAAACACCTCATCGGTCTGAGACCTCCCAACAGGATCTGTCGTATTAAGTACTATTTACAAACCTAAACTCAAACAGAGAAAAGAGTCGCACCGCCCCATACGTCGCATCAGTCCAAATGTCTAACAAAGTGGAAAAAAAACATAAATACGTCGCGTCGCCGTATAAGTTGCATCTGTTACACGTCACCGCTGACGACCCGTAAATGTGGGCCGGTGTTGTGCCAGAAAACGATTGGCTGCCAAATGGCGGCCGCGGGAGGACTTTAACAAGAATTTCACAAGATTAAAACTTAAAAACAATTATTTGTTTGCTCGACATTCTAGTAAAGGTGTGTCTCAGTTGAACTTTTACTTCATAAATGCACTTCAATGGTCAAATCCTCTGCATTTCTCCGGGGCGGCGCAGTGAAATTAAGCTGGTTTGACGGTTGCTCCAGGCGAGCTGGATGAAGGTGGCAGTCTATGGCAAGCTGACTGTGTCACTAATAGCCATTGTTACCTATTACATGACACAACTGCATGCCATACTGCTCGAGTGCCATCTAGCGGCTGAAAATGGTAGTGTTCAATATTTTCAGTCAGAATGATATAAAACGGTCAGAGCTTGGCCAAAGATTGGTTTAAAATATGGAAAATATCCATAAATATGTTGCTTCTGTATATAAATTGCAGGGCATGTAAAATATGCAACAAAAAAAAAACACGACTTATAGGCCAAAAAATACGGTATTTATTGTGTACAAGTGTTTCCTTTGAATGCTGTGGCTTCGTTGCTCGTGTTGCTGAGTGCTGTTTCCTGATTAACACGTCGTCTGTTTTGTTTCAGCCGACCCGCTGGTGGGAAGCATCGCCACACAGTACCTGACCAACAGAACAGAACATGACAGAATAGCTAAACAATGGACGAAGAGATACGCAACATAGGCTGCCCACAGCGGACCCGTCCTCCCCTTGGACCCCCCTCCCCGTCGCTCTCTACCTCTCCCCCTTAGTATGTCAAAGCACACTCACTAAGTGCAACGGTAAACCTGCCCTCCTGTCGTCGCCCTCCTCCTCCTCCTCCTCCTCGTTTTATCTACATTTTCTGTGCAAAGACAAAAAAAAGTAAAACAGAAAAAAAATTGTCCTTTGTTCCTTGTTGACTTGAAAGCTTCTTTTTTATACAAAGAGTAGATTGGGATTTTTATTTTCCAATATCTGAATGTTGGAAGTATTGTATTGGAGAAAAAAACACAGAATAATATTATTATCATACACGTTGTCCTCCAGCTCTGCAGTATGTATTCTCGTTTTCTTAGTAGCACCTGGAACAAACATGCAGACGATGCTTTTACTTGGTTTCCCCGGATTTTGTTTCCTTTTCTGTATTTGTCCTCGTATGTTTTCTGCATGGGTCGGGAAGGTTTGCATCGGTGGAGTCTTCTCGCTTTTTAACCTCTTCGGATTTTGTTTGTACTGTATGTATTTTTTCAACGGCTTTTGAGGCAGACCACAAAAGTATAGGTCTGCCTGTGAAAGAGGCAGGACTTGTATATTTACTGGCTACCCGCCACCTCTGCGACTGCAGAGTGGTTTGTCGTACACTTGTATATCTGACGCACCCAATAAAACACACCGTGGTTGGCTTGTGAGAAACTGTCTGTGATTTGTGCCTGAACGTCACCCCCAACAAAAAGATGGAGTCACTGCTCTTCTTTGATCTAACCCTCAAATTGACCTTTATGACAAATCCACCACCTTACAACATAACTGCTGAAAAATACTACGTATTCTCATTTCTGTCCACTATAAACGAGTTTCTTTTAGAGACATTTCAGCGTAAATGATCGAATTTAAATGACTTTTTTTTTTAATTGTAGCTCCTTAGGGGTTTTTAGTTTTACAAAACTCCACAATTCTGTTATTTGACAATCCAAATCCAACACCGCTCATCACCCTGAACACACCATCCCCACTGTGAAGCATGGTGGTGGCTGCATCATGCTGAGGGGATGAAGGGACAGAGAAGCTGGTCAGAGTTGAGCTAAAAACGAAACTATCCTGGAAGAAAACCTGTTGGAGGCTGCTGAAGACTTGAGGCTGAGGCAGAGGGCCCGACGACCTGGAACATCCAACCAGAGCTACGATGGAACGGTCCAGTCAACGTCCAGAACCTAAACCCAACTGAGAATCCGTGGAACGACCTGAAAACGTTCAGACGCTCTTCATCCAAAATGACTGATCTATTTTGTGAGGAACCGGTGAAAAACGAGAGACTTCAGAGCCTCCAGTCCGAGCTGCAAACACGGTCTGAAAATCAGGACAGGGCGGCATTTGAACGCCTCCTCCAGGAATCTGGACGTCCAGTTCCACAGACCTCAGCAATGACCTTCAGAGGAGGGAAAGGTCAAAGGTCGTTTCCAAACTATCTGGAGTTCATCTCTACAGATGATTATTCACAAGTGAAAACCACTTAGGACAGCTGACAGTCTTCATAAGAGTAGATGTCCCACAAAACACACCCCGAAGGTCAGACTATGCAATACTCAAAGCTCCCTCTCAAACCTCAAGGAAAGGTCAAAGGTCACGACAACAATTAGAAAAAAGACTGAACAAGTACAAAACATGGCAGCAGAGCTCATGTTTGTAAAGATTCAGACAAACTAACTACAGATGAGACCGAAGTGGAGATACAGCGCCCTGCGAAAGTATTCAGCCCCTTGAACTTTTCAACCTTTTGCCACATTTCAGGCTTCAAACATAAAGATATAAAATTTTTATTTTTTGTGAAGAATCAACAACAAGTGGGACACAATTGTGAAGTGGAATGAAATTTATTGGATGTGTCAAACTTTTTTAACAAATAAAAAACTGAAAAGTGGGGTGTGCAATATTATTGGGCCCCTTTACTTTCAGAGCAGCAAACTCAGTCCAGAAGTTCAGTGAGGATCTATGAATGATCCAACGTTGTCCCAAATGACTGATGATGATTAATAGAATCCACCTGTGTGTAATCATGTCTCCGTATAAATGCACCTGCTCTGTGAGAGTCTCAAGGTTCTGTTCAAAGAGCAGAGAGCATCATGAAGACCAAGGAACACACCAGGCAGGTCCAAGATACTGTTGTGGAGAAGTTTAAAGCCGGATTTGGATACAAAAAGATTTCCCAAGCTTTAAACATCCCAAGGAGCACAGTGCAAGCAATCATATTGAAATGGAAGGAGTATCAGACCACTGCAAATCTACCAAGACCCGGCCGTCCCTCTAAACTTTCATCTGGAACAAGGAGAAGACTGATCAGAGATGCAGCCAAGAGGCCCATGATCACTCTGGATGAACTGCAGAGATCTACAGCTGAGGTGGGAGAGTCTGTCCATAGGACAACAATCAGTCGTACACTGCACAAATCTGGCCTTTATGGAAGAGTGGCAAGAAGAAAGCCATTTCTCAAAGATGTCCATAAAAAGTGTTGTTTAAAGTTTGTCACCTGGGAGACACCAAACATGTGGAAGAAGGTGCTCTGGTCACATGAAACCAGAATCCAACTGTTTGGCCACAATGAAAACGATATGTTTGATGTAAAAGCAACACAGCTCATCACCCTGAACACACCATCCCCACTGTCAAACATGGTGGTGGCAGCATCATGGTTTGGGCCTGCTTTTCATCAGCAGGGACAGGGAAGATGGTCAGACTTGATGGAAGATGGATGGAGCCAAATACAGGACCATTCTGGAAGAAAACCTGTTTGAGTCTGCAAGAGACCTGAGACTGGGACGGAGATTTATCTTCCAACAAGACAATGATCCAAAACATAAAGACACATCTACAATGGAATGGTTCACAAATAAACATATCCAGGTGTTGGAATGGCCAAGTCCAAGTCCAGACCTGAATCCAATGGAGAATCTGTGGAAAGAGCTGAAGACTGCTGTTCACAAACGCTCTCCATCCAACCTCACCGAGCTCCAGCTGTTCTGCAGGAAGAATGGGCAGAACTTCAGTGTCTCCATGTTCAAAACTGATGGAGACAAACCCCAAGAGACTTGCAGCTGGAACTGCAGCAAGAGGCGGAGCTACAAAGTATTAAAGCAAGGGGGCCCAATAATATTACACACCCCACTTTTCAGTTTTTTATTTGTTAAAAAGTTTGACACATCCAATAAATTTCATTCCACTTCACGATTGTGTCCCACTTGTTGTTGATGGACTGGAGACCTGTCCAAGTGTCTCTGTGATGGACTGGAGACCTGTCCAAGTGTCTCTGTGATGGACTGGAGACCTGTCCAGGTGTCTCTGTGATGGACTGGAGACCTGTCCAAGTGTCTCTGTGATGGACTGGAGACCTGTCCAGGTGTC